AAGAAGCAAAGTCCAAAGAAGACATAACAATTAAACAGCCTACAACAAGTAGAGCTCAACGGATAGTCAAAAATCTGATTACCGTCCGCATCCGTATCTGTTTAAAAAGAAAATGTTTGTATCTGTTTTAAACGGATATTATCCATGTCCAATTAAGAATATCCGATTACTAAACGAATACGGATTTGGTAATTGTATATCCGATTCGTTTAAAATCCGATCTGAATATGCATTCGTTTAAATAACCATTTATTCGAATAATCAATCTGTTAAGTATAGTTTTTCCTAATTTTTTATGTTTATATTTTGTTTCTCTATTGATATTTCAAAATATAAGACATTTTTATATACAAAATAAATGTGTAGATACATTAAAATATGTGCAGACATATAAAAATGTGTACATATGTGCTGTGTAGATCTTTTTATCATATGAAGTTATCGTAGAATATCATAAATCATGAAAAAAAGATAATAATTATCTCATCCCAAATTATAGTTGATTTAATAATAGTTTGACTTTAATCTAATTTCAAATTAAAGTATTGTTTAATTTGATTTTAAAAATTGGAAATGGATACGGATATATCCGATATCTGACCAATATCCGACGGATACGGATACGATTTTAATTTTCTGTATCCGTCAAAATCCGTATCCGACAAAAATAAAATGATACGAATTTGGTAATGACACATCTAATTCGATTAATATCCGTTTACACCCTAACAACAAGATAAACAAGATAGGACAGTCAAACGAAGTGTTCGCCTTGGTGTAACACATGAACCGAATTTTGATCATAAGAGAGTATGCACAAAAGACAACCTCTATTTTAAAATTACAAATAGATACTAAAAACTAATACTTCCTTCGTCCCTAAATAAACTTTCCTTTTCGTTTTTTCTTTGTTTCCAAATAAACATTTCTTTCCCTTAAAAAATCTCTTTTACCCCTTACTTTTTCATATCCTACCTATCGAATCATACCTTTTTACTAATAATCTACTTATCATATCTTACTTTTACACATCACATCAAGGGTATTTTTGGAAAGTCAACACAAAAATATCTCTCCCTTAAATCTTCAAAAAGTCAAAAAGGAAAGTTTATTTAGAGACGGAGAGAGTATTAGTCTAGGATAGGCTGAGGGGCGAATGTAGCATACACCAAGTCAATAATAGATACATTATTTAAGTACTCATAGCTCCATAATTCTCTTTCATTCATATCATCTTCATAGTATTCATTTTTAAATACCTTATTTTTTAAAACAAATACTCACAACGCATTTCATACATTCATCCATTTAATTACTCTTTTCGTCCTAAAACATTCTTCTCGTTTCTATTTATGAGGTTTGACCGACTTTATTTTCAATTCAATTTATTTGATTGTAGGTGTAAAATTTAAAAATAAAATTTATATATATTTAAAAACTACATCAAAAGTTTTACAAAATAATAAGTGAGAAGACTGTGTGAATAGTAACTGGTAAGAACATTTTAACTATTTCTAACGAAAACGGATAAAGAAAGTAATTGAAGTTTGAATGCGTGAATATTAACTAGGAAGAACATTTTAATTAAATAAAATAATTAAATATTTTGAAAAATAAATAAAGAAATCACCCTACGTAACACTCTAACTCATCTAATACTACGCATTTAGCACTGCTTATTGTTTTTTACTAAATTAGCTATTTATGTTGTCAAGCTCTTCCAATCATACCCTTTATGTTATCAATCTCTTTTATCTATCCCAGTATCAATTGTTTCAATTCCTCTTTCAATTCCTATATCAAATTCGGACTCATATAATGTATACTTTGTGCATAGTGGTATAGTACTCTTTTTTATCAAATTCTTTCGTCAATCAATTAAATGTAGTTTTGAATAAATATATATAATAAAAATACGATATATCAAAATTATATCATAAAAATATGCCAATTATAAATACTTCCTTCATTCCAAAATAGGGCTCTTATTCGATTTTGCGATTTTGATTGAAGTTATTTTCAAATCAATATAAGTAAAAATTATTGTATAATTAAAAAATAGGAATTATATTGGCAATGAATTTGTCTTCTATATATAATGTGGCAGACAAGGGTGAAAATATGGCAGTGTATAAAAGTTAGCGACCTAAATAAATTTGTATGTACTTCATTAACTTCCATTAATAATATGGCAGTGAAATTAGACATACATATAAAACTGCTAATGTTATGAATTATGAATTGAATTTATATTGTGCAAAAGCCATGTGCTTCGTTTTATGACTATTGGGTTTGAGCATTCAAGAGTTCGTTATGGAAATGTGTTACTGAATAGGGGCTGATATTTTTTTGACAGTGTGGAATAATCAACTTCTAGCTACACTTTTTGGAAATGTCCTATGACCATGTTTGCCTAGTGTGTTTTGGTCGAATGGGAATTATATCTAAAAATCCCAATGTAATAAATTATTCATTGAGTTCCATTGGAAGCGAACACAAAAAAATCACCAAAATGACTAGTGCTTGAATAACTTTAATAAACAAAGTATGAAGTGTAAGCTCAAAGATTTTTGGCAGTGTAGAATGCTTGTGATCTAGGTATACTTTTTGGCAGTGTGTTATGTCCTATGTTTTGGCTAGTGTGCTATGTTGCACAATTTACATAATGTTGCAGTGTATGCTGCTTACAAAGTCTTAAAATTTACAACATAATACATTCATTATCCATTTCTTTTCAGTACCACATAAATAAAATTCAACAATTGTCTAATACTAACATCTTCTAACATTATACAAAATCAAGAAAGACCAAAAAAAGTCAAGCCCATGTTTGGCCAATGTGTTTTGGTGTAATAGATTGTTCATGAAATCAGTCATACATTTTTGGGCGGTGTGGAATTCATAAATGAAAACAATCATATACATTTTTGGCAGTGTGGAATTCATACATGAAAATAGTGTGAAATTCATACATAAAAAGAACTATACATTTTTTGGGGAGTGTGGAATTCATATATGAAAATAGTCATACATTTTTTGACAGTGTAGAATTAAAAGAAAACCCCCTACATAGGAGTAAAACATGAATCATATCCTCAAAATAGGAGTTCAAACTTAAACTACTCTAAATAGGAGTAATTAATTAAATATAAGTTAAGAATAGCCTTAAGAATAGCCCTGGCCGCACAAATAACTCTCCTTGAAGAATCCATTCAATGTCACCTCTCCTTGCAATTAAGAATCCATGGCGATCAACAACTAAATTTGTACTAATTCTTTCAACCGCATGGATAAGTTTGAATTCAATTTTATGTTCAATTTGAAATAAGAGGTGACATTCCTTTTTAATTGTGAATTTACTTCATAAAGATTTTTTTAAAAAAAAATTCGTATTGAAACTGAATGATTATGGTGTTGGCAAATAGTAAAATTTCTTGACATTTACTCCTTTTTGACATTATGCATTGACATATCTTTCATTATACATTGTCAGGAATGACATTATACAATGTCAAGGTTCACATGCATTATCTATTTAATTTGTTTAGCATTATGCATTCGCATGTATGACCTTATACATTGACATGATTGTCATTATATGATTACATGTGTCATTTATTATGGTCTTTTTTTGACACTGTATAGACATTTTAACGTAGCAATTACATTGACACTATATTGAAAATGTGTATGTGTGTGTGTGTGTATATATATACACACACAGGGGCCGGTTCAGGTGAGAATGCACCTTGGTGAAAGAAATAAGAATAAAATTTGGCCTTTGGATCTGATGTATCGTGCGGCTCAGATTGGATCCTGCACTCAGATTTTGGGATAGTGCATTTTCAAGGGATTTTGGTGCATTACGACATGATGCATTTTCAAACCATTTTGGTGCACCTATTTTTGATGCAATATTGACCCTTAGATCTCACAATCTAACGCACCGGATTCATTCTTATTTCTTTCATAAGATCGCATTCTCATATTAACCTATATATATATATATATATATATATATATATATATATATATATATATATATATATATATATATATATATAAAATATATGTATGTATGTATGTATGTATATAAACGCAATCCATCATATTCAATAGGAAGAACTTTTATTTTAGTCATTCACTTTGATAATTGTATTAATTAAGAAAAAAGAATTTTAATTTTGTTTCTCATTGCATTTTTATTCATTTTAAAAATAAGACAATGAAAATGGGACGTTCAAAGTTTAAAAAATGGCGCATTATCTATGAGATGAAAAAATACGAGTAGAAGACAAGATCAAAAGGAGAAAGGGAAATACGTAGGAAAATAAAGAGGAAAATTAATCTTTGCCTCTATAGAATAGCATAAGAAAATCTATTTAAGTAAAATTAAAATATGAAAACTAGCATCATGTTTACTGCATAGTATGTAGATATGGAGCTACATCATGTTAAAATCATTACTCCTATTTAGGTTAGTTTAAGTTTCAACTCCTATTTTGGGATATGTCATCTCTTTTACTCCTATTTTGGTCCATCTCCCTAGAATTAATACATGAAATCACTACCACATAAATCAATGGACATTACACTACAACATGAAATTAAGGAACACAATAATACATTTACACACTGCCGTAAGATATAACAACATATATCCATTATACACTGCCACATTAAAAACTCATATATAAAAAACCACACTGCCCACTACACAATTACGAGTGAACAACCACACTGCCCAAAATAATCATATTTTTTGGCAGTGAATAATGAACATTTGCTGTTTTTTTTTAAGGAAAAAACTCACATATGATTAATCAAAGACGGAAAAAAAGGAGGAACAGAGTCCCAGTACATAGTTTGGGGTTGGGAATAGGCCATTGTAGCCAAAAGATGGGCTAGAGAGTTTGAAGAGCGGGGAACAAACGAAACTGAACAATTAGTAAAAGTACGAAGTAACACTTTGCACTCATGGAAATATATGCCAATGTAAGTCCGGGAAGTAGTAGAAGCCGAGCCCAGATAATGACAAAGAGTAGAGCAATCCGAGAAAAGACGGACATTGGAAGTGTCCCTAGCTTTCAACCATACCAAGGTTTCCTTGCATGCTAATGTTTCAGCCATCAACGGGGATAATACATCAAAGAGAGGACCATTCATAGCCGCCACAAACCTGCCCTCCTGAGACAAAAGCACTGCCCCGAACGTTGCCCTACCTGTCCGCTCCTCGAAGCCTGCATCAAACCAGCAGGTAAACTCAAAATCAGACCCCTGTGGTACAGCATGGATGTGTTGCCTCAGATCTGGTTCGGGAGGAGGAGCATGGAAGTGCACCAGATGACGCCATGCTTCCAAATTATGCGCTGCCAGATTCCAAGTTTGACGAGGTAAGGGTAGTTTCAACTCCCAAACCACTAAATTCCTGGCCTGCCATATTCCAGAAAGAACAGCTGCAACCACCTCCAATTGAGCACCATCCAGCGTAGTCCAAACTTTCTGCAACCAACAAGGAAAGTCAAGAGAAATATGAGCAACCACCGGCAAACCACTCTCGTGCCACACCCGCTGAGAATAAACACAAGAAACCAACACGTGCAAAACATCCTCAATAGAATCACCACACAAGGGACAAAGGGGATCAACTTCCACTCTCCTACTAAACAAATTTGTAGTGGTGGGGAGAATATTTCTCGCAGCCCTCCACATAAAAGTCCTCCATTTGGGAGGAACTTTTAACTTCCAGAGCTTTGTCCAAAAATTAAACCTGTTTGTATGAAGAGAAAACTCTCCCACAATATTTCTATACCCTCTTTTAACAGTATAACACCCACTAGGATCGTCATGCCAATACCAAGAGTCTTCAAACTCCAGGCTAAGAGGAACCCTAACAATATGTTCCACATCCTCCGGAATGAACAGATCATGCAAGAGAGGGATATCCCAAGAATGCGTAACTGGATCAACAAGATTCATAACTCGAGTACCTTGGAGTTGAGGGTGCATAGCGGTATGAACCATCGGGTCATAAGCATCAGAGAGCCAGGGGACACCCCACACCAACGTGTTAGCCCCATTACCAATCCTGCGACGCACCCCACTGCAAACAAGCCCATGAGCGGCCAAAATACTCCTCCAACAAAAACTAGGACAACTACCGAGAGTAGCAACAATAAATGAAGTTCGAGGATAATACCTTGCTTTGTAGATCCTAGCAACCAACGACTGCGGATCCGTCAGAAAACGCCACCCTTGCTTACCCAACAAAGCTAAATTGAAAGCCCGTAAATCCTTGAAGCCCAATCCCCCGAATTTTTTCGGGACACATAAACGATCCCATGCCATCCAATGGATTCCTTTGTTGTTGCTCCCACCTTAACTCCACCAGAACCGGTTCATCATGCGCTCAATAGATAAACAAAGTGAGTCCGGAAGCAAGAACACACTCATTTAGAAAGTAGGCATTGCCTGGGCAACACTTTTTAGGAGAATTTCTTTACCTGCTTTAGTTAAGAACTTTTTGTTCCATGCCCCAATCCTCTGCTTGATTTTATCCTCGATATACGAGAAAACAGCACGTTTATTACTTCCAATGAATGAGGGTAATCCAAGATATTTTCCAAAATTATCCGCTTTAGAGACCCCAAGTAGACCCGCCACACGGTCTCTTGTCTCCTCCGTGGTATTCCGACTGAAGCTAATGTTAGATTTGTGGAAATTGACACACTGACCAGAGAGACTCTCATAATTTTGGAGGCACTGTTTGATGACTCCAGCTTCCTTGACATTTGCTTTAAAAAATAGTAGGCTGTCATCTGCAAAAAACAAATGTGAAACCGCTGGTGCCCCCTAGCGACCCTGCATCCATGAATGGCTCCAACTGTCTGAGCTTGCTGTAATAAAAGAGAGAGTCCCTCAGCACACAAGATAAAGAGATACGGAGATAAAGGATCTCCTTGCCTCAAACCCCGCGTTGGAATCACCTGACCTCCAATACTACCATTGATTTGAATATTATAAGTAACAGTAGTAACACATCTCATCACCAAGTTGACCCATCTCGCGTTGAAACCTAGTGCCAACACCATGCTCTTCAAGAAAGGCCATTCCATCCTATCATAAGCCTTGGCCATGTCGAGCTTGAGTGCACTCCACCCGACTTTCCCAATCTGCTTCCTGTTCAAAAAGTGCCCAATCTCTCCCGCAACAAGGATATTGTCTGTGATAAGTCTTCCCAGAACAAAAGCACTCTAAGACTCAGAAATCACCTCTCCCATCAAGGGTTTCATCCGATTCGCAATCATCTTCGCCATTACCTTGTACACAACATTACACAGAGCAATCGGCCTTAAATCTGAGACCATTTACGGGTCTTTCTTCTTGGGAATAAGAATAATGTTGGTATCATTAAGCCCACTTGGCCAAGAACCCAAATTCAGACAGTCAAGAACAAAGCTCACAACATCATCACCCACAATGTCCCAAAAATGCTGATAAAACCCCGGGTTAAAGCCATCAGGACCTGGTGCCTTATCGGGAAACATACTAAAAAGAGCAGATTTGACTTCCTCCTTCTCAAATGGAGCTTCCAACTGAGCATTATGGGAATCAGACACCCGAGGAGTGACCGAGGGAAAAAAATTAGCATTCCCAGTAGCGGCCCCATTTGCACTAAAAATATTACCATAATGCTCCATTATAACCCGGACCAGATCCTTCCCCTCCACCCAGTGTCCCGCGTCATCACGAAGCTTAAGTAGATTGTTTTTGCGTCTACGATTAGAAGCAAATTTATGATAAAACCTGGTATTCGCATCGGCACCCCGCAACCAATGCTGCTTGGCCCGTTGCTTCCAATATGCATCCTCCTGAGCTTCAAGTCGTGACAACTCAAAGTCCAACTTGCGGAATTCGGCTAGAGAGTAAGGATCACACCGACCCCGCCACAGCATCTGCTCTCTTCGTAACTCATTGATACGTTTTCCAAACATATGGACACGGTCGCCCCCAGTTCATTAAGCGGGCACCACAGTTGTGGACACAACTCAACAAACTGTTTGCACGTCCATCACGCCAAGCACCCTCCACCACCCCACGACATCCCTTATCCAGCAGCCATGCCATCTCAAACCTAAACCTTCGGCCCCCTCTTCCCACCCTACACTCAGACTCATAAACATCGAGAAAGAGGGCAGAGTGGTCCGACGTCCGGGTAAGGATATTGGAGACCTGAATAGCCCCTTGCAAATCAACCCAATCCCCAGTAGCGACCACCCTATCTAACCTTTCTTCCACCCAAGCCTCAGTGCCTTTGCCTCTCTCCCATGTGAACGGGTACCCCAAAGTCGGGACATTCAGTAAGCCGCAATCTTCAAGAGCCTCCCCAAATCCAGGAAGAAGACCTTCAGGGTGTGGGATAGGGCCCTGCTTCTCGTGTTGAAATAATAGATCATTAAAGTCCCCCACGACCACCCATGGAAGAGACGAACGTGTGCTAAGGCTTCTAAGGAGGTTCCATGATTCGCTGCGTCTACTCCTCTCTGGAAAGCCATAGAAGCAAGTCATGCGCCAAGGCTGCCGGCCATACAATCTCACCATGATATCCACATGATTTTTGGAGTAGCTAAGAAGCTGTGCGGTATTATTCCTTTTCCAAAGCAACGCCAGGCCTCCGCCCAAACCTGTTCTATCGACATAAAAGAGCCCTTCAAACTCGATCTTAATCCGGAGTCGTTCTGCATGTTCTCTATTCACTTTAGTTTCCATTAGAAAAACAAAGTCAGGCTTCTTACTGGACACAACGTCCACAACCTCACGAACTGTGCGTGGATTGCCCAAGCCACGACAGTTCCAGCTCAAGGTACTCATTGGGACGGGCGGGTCTGGGAACCAGAACCCGCCACGAGCAAGTTTTTTGAGACATCCTCCACAGAGACATCAACAGCATGCGCTTCACCACTCATACCATCTTCAAAGTCCTCCCCCTCCCTTCGTCGTTTAGAAGCAGCCAAGACACCTGATTCAACTTCGCTCGAGCCCCCCATCCAACAACCCCCTTGGTGTAATGATCACCCTCAATCCTCCCACCCAAGACACCACCTGCAGGGACCAACCACCGCTGCCCCACTGCCCGCGGTCCACGAGATAAGCCGGCACGAAGATATGGACCATACGGGTATTGATCCACCGGGATTGTTGCCTCCCGCGCCCTAAGACAAAATTTGTGGGAGTGCCCCATCAAGCCACAAAAGAAACAAAAGGTGTGTAGCCTATCATACTTAAAATTCACCCACGTCCAAGAATTGTCACGCTTAATCAACTTCATACGACGCTTCAAAGGTTTAGCAATCGGAATAGAGACCCGAATACGATAGAAAGCACGCCATGGTACACTTACCTGTCTATCGCCGCACTTCAAAAAAGAACCAATGAAGTTCCCAATCTGTGCCAAAACTGAGTCTGATGTGTATCCCAAAGGCAAATCGTAGAGCTGAACCCACAAATCCACCGTATCGAGGACCACCGAACTTGGTAGATCCCCAATTTCAACCTGACGGCAAACGAGCGTATTATTCTCGAAAGACCAAGGCCCCTCCTCTAGCACCCGCTGCAAATCTGATTTATGGAAGAAGACAAAGGAAAACAGATTTGGTTCAATCTCTGATACTTGAACTCCTTTGACCGGACGCCAAACCGACGCCATTACTTGTTGCATAAATTCCAATTTGATAAGCTTTTCAGTAAGAAACCTGCCCATGAGCATCCAAGATCCAGCCCCTGCCCCAATATCGGCGTGAGGTTCTATCCCTACTGGCATAAGACCCACCTCTTCGTCCTCAAGCACTAAGCCATCATATCGGGATGGCAATTTCTCCACTGCATCTTCCGGTGTAGTTTGCGCCATAAGTCAGAGGGTGAAGATCGCTGAACACGAACTAATTGCAGAACCTAGAAAACTAGGAGAGAAACGAGCTTGAGAAACCCTAAACTCATTAGGGAGAGAAACCTAATTGTTCATGAACATTTGCTGATTAATTAAAAGACAAAATCGGAATTACATGTACGAAACATATAGCACTGCTATTTAGAGTATTTTAATGGTCTTAGAGTGCTATTTTGGTTTTTCTCTACAAACTCAATATTTTAAAGGAGTATAATAAATATTAAAATCAATAACCCCGACATTTAAATGCATCGAATAGAATTAATGTTTAGCCTACATTCAAAAAAATGTTTAGCCTTCTCTCTCCATTTAATCAAGCCCTTAGAATCATTAAATAACATCATCCATTCATACATATTTTTAATGGTAATTTAATTAAGGGAGCGTCTAAAATAACACCAGTTACTTATACACAAATTCCTTACACCAGTTCGTTTGGGGTATCTACGGTGCTCCGTTTGTAAGAACGACGGTTCCTACCCCCTAACCCTCACCCTAAACTCCCACCCCAGCCCCA